CTTTATTGTGATTTAAGATCAAAATCAAAACTATTATTTTTGTTATCGTTTTTTACACTATTTTGTCGTTATTGTTATGTCAATATTTTAAACAAACTTTTTATCAACATTTACTATCACTAATTAAATATAAAAAATGACTTTTTTTCTTGTACAAAGTACGATTTAACAATTAAAAAATATAGTAAAATTTCCAACATTAGATGTAAATATTGTTAGTTACCAATTACTAATATGATATTTAAAATATAAGTCATAATTTTTCGACATTTTGTATCAAATGTCGTTGTTTTTACAAGTTTTTATATCAAATGTCATTATTTTTACGATATTTTGTATCAAATGTCACTTATTTTATGACATTTTGTATCCAATATCATTATTTTTATGACATTTGTTCATAAATGTCAAGAAATTCATTTTTTCCCGATATTTATTTCAAATGTCATTAAATAAATGTCGTCGTATCCTCACTTTCTTGTAGTGTGTATGGAGCAGAGTGTTGGCCAGTCAAGAAATCTTATGTCCAGAAGATGAAAGTAACGGAAATAAGGTTGTTGAGACGGATATGCGGTCATACCAGGATTGATAAGATTAGAAATGAAGATATTCAGGACAAGGTAGGAGTAGCCTCAATGGAGGAGAAAATGCGAGAAGCGAGGCTTAGGTGGTTTAGGCATGTGAAGAAGAGAAGCACAGATCTGTGAGAGGTTGGTCTGAAGAGGGATAGAGGTAGGTCAAAAAATTAAATATNATAGAGGTAGGTCAAAGAATTAAATATTGGGGAGAGGTAATTAGGCAGGACCTGGCGTTGCTTCAACTCACTGAGGACATGACCATTGATAGGAAGGTGTGGAGGTCGGAATTAGGGTAGAATGTTTGTAAGTATAGTCGAGTGTGTGTCTTCCTCATACCAGCTGTATTAATAGTTAGCCTTGTATTTGGTTTTTGGTAATCTTTATTACTCCATATTTTCTTATTATCTTGATGTTGATAATGCTTGTTCTCTTATTATCTTGCCGTTGTTACTGCTTGTTTTCTTATTATCTTGCTGTTGTTATTGCTGGTTGATACTGCTCTCTTTTTTCTTTTCTTGAGTCGGGGGTCTATCGGAAGCAACCTCTCTACCCTCAAGGCAGAGGTAATGTCTACGTACACACTACATTTCCCAAACCGCACTCGTAGGATTATATTGGGTTTTGCTGTTGTTGTTGTTGGCGGCGGCGGCGGTGGTAGTGGTGTTTTTTATATTCCTTAATAGAGACAACAACATTTTTTCCTTTTGTGAATAAAATCGAACGAATGGATAGGTATTTTATTATAAGTAATATCAATATGGTCCGATCCTTCCTGGAACTCCGCGCATGACGAGAGTTTAGTGCACCGGACTGCCTTTTTTTTTAACATCAGTATAATAAGATCATTACGTGCAACATCTATCTTAATCTGCATGGATCCGAAGAGCTCTATGTTAAATATTCAAACTACCTACGCTGACAGACCTTAATAGTAACATCAGCAAGTTGTCATAAACAATAATTATTTTAAAAACTTGGTATAGTAATTTGATATCAGAAACACATTAACCTTACTAATCTTAATTCGTGCTGTGCTGCATATGACCCACTAAGAACAAGTGTTCCAAAAGTCATACCGAGATTTGTCTTACCTAGTTAACATGAGATTTGTGGCCTTTGGAGGACAACTAGATTTCGAAGGAATATGGGCTTGGTCCAATCTCATTTCAAAGGCCCATTTCTATTGCCCAAGAAATTCAATATGGGCCATGAGTTGAGATTTAATTTTATTGATTTATTTTTGTTAAAAGTAAGCCCTACCAAAAACCCTAGGTCATGTTATATGGTGACTGAATATAAAAGCCTTATCAAGAACACCTTCCTTTTCTTCTCTGTTTTCAGCTACTACAGCGAAAGAGAGTAGAGAAAAAGATGGTGTCACTGAAATTACAGAAGCGGCTGGCCGCCAGCGTCCTCAAGTGTGGGAGGGGAAAAGTCTGGCTTGACCCTAATGAAGGCAACGAAATCTCCATGGCCAACTCCAGTATGTTTCTTCTTCTTCCTTTTATTTAAGATCTGCTTCCGACTTTGATTGTTTTAGTTTATTCCACTAAACCCTTTTAAGTTTTCTGTGAATTTTATCACTTAACTGTTTGTTGAATGAATATTCTTCGTGCTGTAGCGAATGGGTTACTTGATGTCTTATAATTCTTACATTCTTTTGTTGAATGGTTGTGTCGTCAACTGTTTGCTTAAAGTCAGAACGCGATGTAGAAAATGGTCCATAGTGGTGATTTAAACTAGTTTGGGACTAAATTAGTTATCCGACTATAGATAGATTTAGATAATTCCTAATAACCTTAATGTAGTATCGAATTGAGATGTACATGAAATAGAGGGGTATGGGTATACAGTATAGGGGATTTGATTAGCTGATATCAATTGATTTGGGATTGAGGATAATTCAAAGATTGATTGATAAATTAGAATTCTGGTCATATATGTGTGCTGCATAGGGTAAAGTTGCAAATGCGAGTGAGATGTTTTACATTTATTTGATTCTTCTTCATGGTCTAGCAGACAAATGGTTTTAACACGAGAAGAAGCTTTAACATATAGCTTGAGCTTAGCTGGTTTTTGAGCTCTTATTTTGTATTTCCTAGCTTTCCCATTGAAAGCCCTGATAAGCTCTAGCAGTGGAAGCATTTTTACTAAATGTATTGGTCACTACACAAATTGACTGCCTCTAAATCTCCTCATTTGCATTGAGTGCAGGGCAGAACATCAGAAAGTTGGTGAAAGATGGTTTCATCATCAGGAAACCAACAAAAATTCACTCAAGATCTCGTGCCCGCAGAATGAAGGAAGCCAAGAGGAAGGGTCGTCACTCTGGATATGGTACCTCCTAATCTTGACATTGGTTACTAGTTTATGTAATACTCTAGTAATTTATGTTTTCTGGTAGAAACGTTTGAATGACTTCTAATGTGTGTATTTAACCAAATTAATTTGTTTTCTTGATACTTCAAACTGAAAATTTATATGTGAAATCAACCTATGGAAGGTGGACTCAGTTAGAAAAATGGCTGATATTTGTTTGGAGGCATTCATAAAACAAAAAAAGAAATTATTTTGGAGGCAGTTGATACTCAATATATATAGTATTTTCTCAGGTAAGCGTAAGGGTACCAGGGAGGCTAGGTTGCCCACAAAGGTGCTGTGGATGAGGAGGATGAGGGTCCTCAGGCGTTTGCTTCGCAAGTACAGGGAGTCCAAAAAGATTGACAGGCACATGTATCATGACATGTACATGAAGGTGAAGGGTAATGTTTTCAAGAACAAGCGTGTCCTCATGGAAAACATTCACAAAACAAAGGCTGAAAAGGCTAGAGAGAAGACCTTGTCTGATCAATTTGAGGCCAGGAGGGCAAAGAACAAAGCCAGCAGGGAAAGGAAGTTTGCTAGGAGGGAGGAACGATTGGCACAGGTAACAACTTGAGCTTGATGTAAATTTACCTAAGCAATTCAGGCTCAGCACACTGTAGTGTTTGCTGTCCCCTGACTAGTAGTCTACATGTCACTATTTTACGATAACAGTAAATGAAATTGAGCTTGTTTTTTTTTATTCACAGGGACCAGGAGAGAGGCCAGCACAACCTGCAGCACCAGCAGCTTCAGCCCAGACTGCCCAGTAAGTTTATCACGGACTTGCTCTCAGTTTATCAAGGACTTTAAAACAAAATTTGATGAAACAAAATCTGATTAAAATTGTCCTTGTTGTAGGGGAGGATCCAAGAAGTCAAAGAAGTGAGGATGGAGGACTATAAGAAGGCTTGGTGCTATATCTACTTTTTGTTCTTGATATTATGGCAGTTTAGTATCTTTGATATGTTCCCTTTTTGGTTCATGTACTTTAAGAAACAATGTTTTACCTACATGAAGTTGAATAGATGCTTTGAAATTTTGATACATTATTCTCCTGTTGCACCCTTATTTCATATTCGGTTATGCGTTGGCCTTAGTTCATTACTCTGCATCAGATGGAATGCACTAGCTGAGCGCAGATATATTTGCAAGCAAATTCTGCTCTCCGCTACAAATTTGTTTGGATATTCAAGTATTAATGAAGTTCAAACTATAGCAATTCTTTAACACTAATTGTTACTTATCCTGTTAACTTAGAGTACGCATAAGTCCATTATCACGCAGTAGTCTATTTCAATTTTGAGAGTGCTTTAATCTGTTTGCAACAATGTAAGTTATATATTCTGTTAGTATATAGAATTTTACACTATAAATGTAAGTTAAACTATAGCAACAATGATTTGTTTTTATTTTCTAGGTTACAGTCTCGTACTTAATATAGACAATATCTGCTGACTGTTTTAAAGTAACTTGATTGTATACATTTATTTACAGTGTAAAATTGATGCAAGTTCATCAGTCATCGTGATGCTTAAACAAGCTGTTGCATCGGTTAAATATCCTTCCAAACCAAATAGGAAAAGAGAACCAAGAATCCATTGCTCTTATAACCTTGGAATCCCAATTCGAAATTATTCGCAAAGATCTAGGATTCTATTCGTACTGAAGGTTTATCAAAGTTTAAAGCATTTGATTCAATGCCTCGCTTATCAAGTCCTTGACATGATTGAGAAATCCAATAGGATTTTTGGAGTACTCATTGTTTTTGACATTTAGACTATAAATTTTATCGATTATATTTTCCATCATACAGCTTTAACGATTTAAGATTATCACTTAAAGTCGGTGCAGAATCCATTCAAGTGAGAAATGCAAAGATTATCGTCCAAATATGTACGAAATCGACAGAAATATTTTGATTCAACGAGTACTCTATGCATGATTATTACTTGTATATTGCCTCGACAAAAATATATATTTGATATTCAAGTTTTCACTTTTGAATGGAACTACTAAGCAGCACTAATCCCATCAGCTGCCGCAGTTTTTCAGAAGTAATAGTCATAAGAGCATTGTATGCCTATCAGATTGTTGTATAAAGCTCGCTATATAATTTCAATAGTGACATTTTCAAGATGCAAGCAATTTTCAGTCCTCTCGTTCAGGGCACTGAATTAAGTAGTTACATTGAGTCACTGTCATTGGAGCATTCAGAAGAGTGAATAAAACACAAATTCACAAATCCTGTTCTAGTCACCAATGTTGTCATTTACAAACTCCTTTGATAGCGTTGAACAGTCACAGCCATTCCACCATCATCTCCACGGAACTGTCTATACCTGAATAGATCATCACTACCTTGGTTCAACCTCCCTCTAGGGGCCATAGGTAGCAGAGGCAATGCGTTTGGATGGTTGCAGACTCCAAGTTTAACTACGAATGTTACAGTGGTTCCCTTCCCTAGGCCCTCACTTTCAATCCAAATGTTACCTTTCATAAGTTGAATAAATCTGCATCCACCCCGTTTCAAATGTCAAATGAGTGCATGCATAATGTGTACCAAGTCACACAAGACAGCATGCAAAACAACATATAAATAGCTGTACCAAAGAGATAAATGAGGGTAAAAGAGGATGTCTTGCTGCCTCTATAACATGGACACTAGGAAAAAATAATGCTACCAAATTTACAATTTCAAAACATACCGTCTGCAGATGGCAAGCCCCAGACCTTCCCCTCCACTACTCCGATTTGATGTATTTCGTGTCTCTGCAAATTTGGTGAATACGAATGGGATGTCTTGTGGGCTAATGCCACACCCAGAATCTCTAACCTACAAGAACATAAATCTGAAAAGGATTAATTTTCGAGTGAATGATAAAAATCTCTTTTTCTGATTGATATTCTGCTCAAGATGAAAATTTAGAACTGCAAAGAAATGGGAAAAAAAAGAAAAGAGAACCTTCAAACAAACCTCCCACAACCATAAAGTAAACTGAAACCAAAAAGGAGATACTGTCTGCAGGGCACGACCTATCTGAAGGAAAAAGTACATATATCTTCACTTTTGATAGAAAGAAATATTTGTTTAGTGATCAAAGAGGGTTTCGACTTGATTCCTAATTCTTTGCTGACTTTGGAACAGAGAACACAAACTTTTTGCCCATACTAGCTAGCAAATAAATCTGGAAGTGTGCATTTGTATGCAAATTACATTTCCTCAAGAAACACTGTACAACCATTTAGCCATGATAGAGGATAGAAATGCTCAACCTGGACGCGCAAATAAAACTGGCCATCACTTGGCATAGGGTACACTTCAGGAGGATGACAATCTCTCGCGTACTCTGGTTTAGCAACTGAAGCCTCAATTGAAATATGACCTTCTTTAGTGAACTTCACAGCATTTCCCGCCACATTTAAGAGAGTTTGAATAAGGCGTTTTGCGTCACCCACCGCAAGAATAGGTAAATCCAGAGCCAAAGCAAGAGTTATAGATAATTTCTTCAAAGAAGCAATTGGCTTTATCAAATTAACGGCCTGCAAATCAATGAAAAAAAAAGAATTCATACTACCTGTTTTCTAGAGGAAATCAGCATGTCACTTGTGTATGTTAGATATGCATAGGTTTGTGGTCATTTACCTCTCTTAAGATTCCATGAAGATTGAATGTTCCATTTTCTAGTTCAAGAATACCATCTTCAAGTCTGGAAAGATCTAGCACATCATTTATCAGTGTTGCCAGAAGATTGCTACTCTTCAGTATGGTCTCAATCATAACTCTCTGCTCTGGAGTTAAGTCTGTTTCTAAAAGCAGAGAGCACAAAGCAATAACTGCATGCATAGGTGTTCTCATTTCATGGTTCATCACAGCTAGGAAGTCGTTACGAGCGTGGATGGCCATCTCTGCTTCTTGCCGAGCTACATCCAAAGCAATATTCTGTTCCATGAGCTGATCATGGGCTCGCATGGACTCTTCTAAAATTGCAGCATGTGAAAGAGCGACAGCAACCTGATAAGCGATTGCACTTAAAATGAGAATTCTAATTCAAAAATGAAATAGACAAGTTCTAATTTGTGTTCATGAGAAAATGTATAGCAACCTTGTTCTGATAGGTTTGCTATTAAGCGATTGCACTTACTAACAGTAACCAAATTCTAATTAAGAAAAAAAGGGAGACATTAACTTTGGAAAGCAAGGGCAATGATTGAACGTTAAACCAGCATAAATTTAACACTCCCTCAATCCCAATTTATGTGGCACCGTTTGACTAGGCATGAAGTTTAAGTAAGAAAGGAAGACTTCTGAAACTTGTGGTTTAAAACAAGCCTTAATATTTGTGTGATTATAAATCATCTCACTAAGGGTAAACGAAATTTTTTAAAAGTTCAATTCTTTTCGAAAATAAAGAAAGGTGACATTCTCTTTAGGACAGACTAAAAAGGAAAGAATATCATATAAATTGGGACAGAGGGAGTAATGGAATAGAATCTAATTGACTTAAGAGAGTAGTTATTTCTGCACCTAAACATCCTTATCCACACTGCAATTAATGCATCCACCAGTGTAGACAAATTCCCTCGTGATGATTACAGAAAGAAACAATCATTCTAGAGTTTCCAAGTTATGCTCCACTATTCCTTTTTGTTTCAAAATAAATTAAAAAGAGGTAAGAAAAAGAAACAGAAACTCATCTCCTACCTCACTAAATCTCTTCGGTTTGTCTTCTTTCTTTCATCTCTCCATCTCTCTCTCTTGCAGAAACTATATCTTATGTGACTATCTTTAGTGATTTATCTACAGGCAACACTATCCTCACCTTGAACATTTATTTCGTGTACTGTTGAAGAATCTTTTTGTTGGTTAATCATCAATAAATTGGAGGGTGGAGTTCATTTTCACTGTATGCACTACCTATTCATTCTACGGATGCTTCAACAGTAAGTTGCAAGACACAAGGCTTCCAACATTAGAATTTCATTGACATAACCATACCAAAAACATTCTGGATAAAGAATTGGAAAGGAAAAAGTAATGGACCTAATCAAGAAGCGACACATAGTCCATGTGCACTCATTGGAAAGTAATAGCTACCAGCATTGTGCATATAGCATTACAAGTTTATAACAAACCATTAAGACAAGGATAATATAGTCCAAGCAAGTGAAATACATTAAAGATAGTGTGGATAAGTGTATCTTGAAGTGGAAATAGCTGCTCCAGTACATACAGTACAAACACTTTAGGGGTAGAATGAAGTAGTTGTGCAAAAATCGTTATCTTTTCCCATTTTGTGGTGGTCATTTGTCTTGATTCAGAAAGAATGAAAACCTTTATTCACCAATACTAACGCATAAAGTGTAATGTGAAAATGCCAGTTCTTAATTAGACTATTCTGAACTCTGATGCATCATTGACCTAATAACATGCCTGGAAACTAGCCATATTTAACCAGTGGTTAATAAGATAAAGGAAGTTAGCAATAGAACCTGATCTGCGACGACTTGCACAAGTTCTAACTCATGATCACGCCACTTTCTTAGGCCATTCATCGGGAGGATCAGAACCATCACTGCATAACTTCTAGCAGACAGTTCAGGCCAGTCATTAATATGAAAATTTGAGAGGTGTAGAAGAGGTACACGAACAGCAACTACTTCTGGTGGAATATATCTACCAGCAGTGTTCCTCATCCTTGCCAATGCATTTGTATGTGGAATCTGTATTGCTCCAGGGCTACTAAAAATCTCATTGATAATAGGAAGATTTATGGGCACAGTAGATCCCAGAGGTAATAGATTGTTGAGATTATGGGAAAGTTGCAAATTCAGGCCTCCTTGGCATGGCATCCACAAAGCACATTCTGCCAGGTCTAAGGTCCTACCTAGCTCCACAAGAGTAGTCTTCAGGATTGTGTGTCTGTCGAGTGTACTTCTTATCTCATGAGTCAACATTCTGACATGTCTGCCAGTTTCTTCTTGTCTTATTATTAGGCCCATTTCCTTGTCAAGCTCTTCAGCTCGAGCTTTCAAGAACAATTCTCGCGTTTTAACACTTAGCAAATCAGGAATAATGTGAACAAGCATCAAAGCTGTGATACAGGACACAGCAGCTGTTAAAATTTTTGCTATAGTCATAACCACAGCGACCGTCTTAGAGTGCATAAAGAATGTCCACAAGCTAATAAAATGAGTTGCTCCACAGAGAACAATAAAAGCGCCAAACTGCATGAGGACCCATCTGTATGGGAAGCATGCAGATTTGTGGACAAAATAAATAAGCTCCAGCGGAATGGAAAAATAGGCAAAGGCAATGAAGAAATCTGAAAGGTATTGGTATTTAACCAGCAGGTCATCATTTGGCAGTAGAGCCTCAATGCAATCACAGGATTCCATCATCTAGTTTCGTCCCGAAGAATCTGAAAAGCACAGAATGAGGAACATTTCTCCATAAATGGAAAAAACAGACAAATAAAACACAGACAAAAAATGCATACGCCATCATCCACACATCTTTATCATGTAGTGCACCCCTTTATTTATAGCAGCTTGATGAAAACAATGAATAAAGAGACATAACAAATGTAATAATGACATGCAGAAAGCAGGACAGGTTTTTGTTGGTTATTGCTTTTCCGAGTATTCGGGTGTTCCTAATCACTGCAACCAAAAGACCGATTGGTGTCTTTTATATTAACACTGGTTAGCAGTTTAAGGAAAGAATTTTATAAGCTTCCCAAGCTGTCACATTTTATTCTAAATAGAAATTTCTTGATCTTCAGAAGGACGAAATAACATTTTTGATTTTAATCCCCCACAGTTTCCAGGATATCATAGTGTTGGCATTTATTTAGAAGGCGATTCATAATTTAAAATGCTTTTTGGACAAGACATAATACGTTGTGAAAAGGTGTCATCCATTCTTAAAGGATACATATGTTCTTTGTGATAAGTTGTTTCCTGTCTTAAAGGATACACATATTCTTAAAAAGGTATGTTAGTTACTAGTTGAATTGTTGCTGTGTCAGCGAAAAAATCAAATCTTGTGTTTCCATGTCTTCATCTTTTTGATACTTCATATTGTTACTCTTTTCAGGAGTTCGTTTCTTCGTTCACTCTGAATTCCTAGACTAAGAGTTCTCCGAAACTTCTATTTGAGTGCACATTAGAAGATTCCTGAGTGATTCTTTGTATCTTAAGCGTGCCTCGAACAGGTTTTTCACATCCAACACTCTATCTCTTCTTTTAGACTAGTTAACTATTGTGTTTTGTTTGTTGATTAAATGTTCTTCTAAATGTTATCATCTCTAATATTTTTCGAAACACGTAGTAGTACGGAATGAAGAATAATAAGAAATTAAGTAGAGCACAGTGTCTTCTCCAACTCCAAGCTATTTTTGGCCGTTTGCTGTCTTAGGGTATTTCTCTAGAGGGAATGTTCCTCCATAATTCTTGTATTCACCTTCATTTCCATCATTATACATCTCCACTACCAAGGCAAAAATAAAAACAAGGCAAGAAAAGAAAAAGAAACAATAAGACCTTTTCTTTTTCCCAGAACTCTCCAAAAAGGATACCTGTTTGTTTTCTGATGATTAATCTGTCAAGTGGTAACTGTGGTTTTTCCAACCTCCACGAGGCCATAAGAGTATGCAGTGGCAGATGGAGGGTATAAGTAATGGGTTCAATTTCGACATGGAGTATAGATACGGAAAATCACTAAAGTTTCAAAAAATATAAAATTTTGAACTCATAATTTGAAATGTGTAAGGGTTTTCCAGTAAGAATCTAAAGGTCGAACCCATAAAATTTAAGCCGCGGATTCACCTACGAGAGTATGCAACTAAAAAATTTGGTTCATGCCAAAATAAATTTATATTCAATTTCAACTTTCTCTACAGTAATAGAGGCATAAATCCTAATAGCAAAATCATAATAGAATCAAACTCAGTTTTTATTTGTTGCTAATCTTAGCAACTATTAGCCCACAGATTTACAATGTCAACACCTAAATACACTAAAAAGAAACTTTAAAAGCTGAAAATAAAGCTACGGTTCACAGTTCAATATCGAATTCCAGCATTCCACTTAACAAAACATTAAAATTACCACACACACAAAAAAAAAAAAAAAAAAAAAAAAAAAAAAAGGAGTAGGAGAAAAACCAGTGAATCTCGCAAAATTTCTGAAAATTCAGCAACTTCGCGTGCTCTTCCTCGCTTTTAAGATGCTATATGTGCTTTTTAAGATGCTATATGTGCTGCTGCGACACATATGCTGTATCGCAGCACATTTTCATTTTTATTTTTTTGATTTATGCACGACCTACGATATGAAATCAGATCAGGCACAGTATTCTTCTTACTTTTAGCGGAGAAAACAATGAGGAAAAAGGACAAATATGTGAAAGAGGATTACAGTTGGAAAATGCGGGATCTGAGTAGCTACTTCTCACTGAACTACTACTACTCCATGTATGTTTTTTGGTTTGTGTATTTGCGAGTTTCCATGAATTGGAGCTGTTTTTTGTGCTTCGGTCGCCATTGAATTTTCCTTTTGGTTTTCTCTGATAATGCTCTGGATTTTTTGTTTGTTTTGGAATTTTGGATTTGAGAGGTGATTATCGAGAAGAGGCCCAACTAAAAGTGTTAAGTAAAGTGGAGGGAAGTAATTAAAGGAAAAGTCATCGGAATCACGCTTCTGACGTGAAGAGTTAAATACACACGTGTACAATGTTTTTTTCTTTTTATTTCTCTTTTTGTCATAATTTGAATCTTAAATTAGTTTTCATTTAAGGTGGTCAATGAATGGTAATCGGCTCGTCAAAATTGTTGAATATAAAAAAATTTAGAGGGATTTCTTACCCATCTTATTAGATGTTCAGTGAAAAATTAAATATAATCCGTTACTCTTTTAAACTATTTAAGTAACTTCATTACTTTCCCATTGATTATTATATTTGGAAAACAAAAAAACTCATTAACGATAAATTTAGGCACGGGTTAGGAGCCTTATTACATGCAGCCCCCCTTTGTCTGGATTTGGGATTATTGACTTTTGTTTCTTTAGCGGTTGAAGTGGGGCCCCGTCCTTTCCTTCTTTCACTTTTTTTGTTTTTTCAGAAAAAGGCAAAGGTTAGACGTAATACCATTTGCGACAACCTCAATCAAACCACTTGCCCCTCGAATTTGAAATTCCATTTTTAATATATTAAATAATTCCTACTTGTACTACTTGTGGTAAAAAAACATATACATAAATAGGCAAAGGTTAGACCTAGTGGATCGGGTTGGTTCGATTTTGATATTTTTATTAAAATCAAATCAAATTAACTATATCGGTTTGGATTGATTCGGTTTTGTCAGAGTTTTCGAGTTTTTTTGTTACACGAATATTATTCAAATCTTACTTTGTTAAAGTTATAGATAAAGTTTTGATAAGTGAATTATATGTTTAGTAAATATTGAAAAAATTAACAAATATATAATCTATTAAAATATTTTAATGGGAGAATTTTTTTAGTAACACATAATAATCATTTTCTTAGTCGTCTAACAATAATTTCGTTAATGTACGGTTTCAAGGTTAACACGTGAGAGGATCCCAAATATTTCAAATATTTTTTTAGAGCAAAATTCATTTGTAGCCACAAAATGATCCCATACAAGTCATAGCCTAAAAACAATAATAAGAGTTATTTTTCTTTCTGCTCCTTCGGTCCCTTACCGCACATTATTGGAAATCAAAGCTGGAAAATCAAAGTTGAAATCGTCTGTAATTATTTTCAACTCATTGTAAGAGAACCGAGTTAGCATTCCCGGTAAGATTGGCTCTAAATCTAGAAAAATCCCAGCCTTGTTGGACTCATATATCCTCTTTTTGATAAGGACAAAGCAGGTACTGATACTTAAAATTATCTCAAAGAAAGCTGCAAGAGTAGATCCTATTATCACTCCGAGAGGTCTTGATTTTTCTCTTCCAGAAACGATTGGAGGTTGATTTCTGTGCCTTTGAGGAATTTCGCACCTTAAGAAATACTCTCTTTTTCCCCTCAAGGCGTGATGTGAAATTGCAGAGAAAAAAACAGGTATTAACTTAAATCATGCATAGCTAGTGAACTTAGTTTAATTCATAAATAAATTTTTTTTTAAAAATATATACTAAATAGAGTGTTACTATATAAAATATATACAAAATAGACTGTCACTATACAAAAAATATACTAAATAGACTGTCACTATACAAAAAATATACAAAATAGAATGTCACTATACAAAAAATATACAAAATAGACGGACTATACAAAATATATATAAAATAGACTGTCACTATACAAAAAATATACAAAATAGACTGTCACTATACAAATAATATACAAAATAGACTGTCACTATACAAAAATATACAAAATAGATATTTCGGGCTATTAGATGTAATATGTTTGGGCCGAAGGGCCATTTCGTGTAAGTGAAAAAAATATGGGCTATTAAAATTTAGGGAGACTATAGAGGGTAGTTTTCTCTATTTTTCAAAGAAAATTCAATATAAAGTTTTAATATATATATGTCGGTTTGATTCAGATTTTTTTACTCAATACCAAATCTAGTCAGATTTTTTAATTGGTTTGGTTTAATTTTTCAATTTGGTGAGATTTTCCGATTCGATTTGAACACCCGGATTAGACGTAATACCATTTGCTACTTATACATGCATACCAGTTTTGCTCCAACGCCATTTATGCGACAACCTCAATCAAGCCACTTGCCCCTCAGAATTTGAAATTTCATTTTTAATATATTAAATAATTCATACTTGTACTACTTGTGGTAAAAAAAAAACATATACATAAAATCTTGTAGTTCATGATATGAGGATGCTATTGTGGATTCACAATAGTCATTAAAGAGTTTTGTCCTGGAAAAACTTATTCTCTCGATAATTTTAATTTTTTTTATATTATTAATTTTCATTATGTAGGTGAATTGACCAAAATTTTGTTATAATATTCTCTTATAATTTTAAAAAAATGGACCAAACCTCGTTATAACATTCTCTTTAAAATTATACTATTCATGGTGGAGGCTGTAATCTTCTTATTTTGTCATTTAACGACCTAAATTGTATATAATTTCCAAAGTTACTATGCGGATCTCAAATTGAAAATAAGCAACCCAAGAATCAATATTTTGGATTTTATAGGGTAAATCAAACTACTCAAAGATTTAAAAACTGGATCACTAGCTCATTGATTTTTAGGATTGGCATTTAACGCTAAGGCAGCATATGATAAAATAAGAAAATGCTCAAAATTCCAGTTGAAATTCGGCATCTGGATTTGCTTCTGCGAAAAATATTTATCCTTTATAGGGTTGACATAGATAAGTTACGTTTGATCCTGCTCTTGCCTAAAGAATATCAAAGTTACTTCTAATAAAATCCATTATTCTTAGATGTAAAATTGCACCTTTCGGTATTTATACTTTTCGTTTAATCTTTGGGATCTTTACACAAATGTTAATGAGATTTGCTATTTATTGCTTTTGGCCAATAATACGTAGATTTTACGCACTAATTATAAAATATATTATACGTTTGTCGGTTATTTTTAATTTAGGCAATTATGTAGACCAATCTTTTTATTTTTTAATGCTCGGCGGATACTATCTTATTTTTACATTTACGTATAGAAATAGGACATTATCTTATCTTTTGGATGGAAAAACGACGCGTGCGCACATTAGCCATTTGTTTCCCTTTTTAAGACGAATTCCATTTCAGTTAGTATTTGTTATTTTATGAATAAAATTCATCCATTATCGTCAAACCCTTAAAATAACAAGCAATCAAAATTCTATCTCAATTAAATGACAAGTTCTTTACTCTTAATTGAGTAATAACAACTTAAGCAATCAAAAGAAAGTCTTGTTCTTGTAAAGCTTTTCTGTGCTATTTAACGACAAAATGAGTATCAAAGAGGGGGAAAAATGGAATTCCACCTCTTAAATAAAATATATAAAGTTTTTGTAAGACCATCTCCAACCCAAAGCTAATTTTGACGCCAAACACTATTTTGGTGTAAAATTTGGTGTTTTGGTGCTCCAACCCAATACCATTTTGGCTTGTGAATAGTGTTACACCAAATTTGGTGTAACACTATTCATCAATATTTTATTATTATCTTTTATTATATAACACTTTTAATTTAACATATTATAAATTTTGTAATTACTTATATTTTTTATGGTTATAATATTAATTTATATTTAATTTTTGGTGTATAATTTTTGTATATTTTATTCTTACATAAAATTATAAGTTAATTTTATTATAAGTTATAATTGTATAAAAATATATAACCATCAAAAAAATGAAAAGTGCAAATCTGAAATATAATATGTTATTAATAAATAACACAATATTCATTAAATAAGATAAAAATAACTATTTAATACAGTAGCGACTGACATAGATTAAAATTAAAAATACATTAAATAACATAGTGGGACAAAGATGCTCATTTTGCACTTCGTAATGTATTAATAGAGCATTTATGGGAGCAACATATTAATCATGTAAGTTGAATATTTATGTAGAAATTAAACTAAATTTTACCATAATATAATATTTATTTAATTATATCTTATCAATGATTTCATTTTTATTTGAATTATCCATTAATATGTATGATGTATAATATTTGCTTATAATTTATATTATTTAAAAAAATTATGGTATAAAATAATTTTATATTAAATGGTTATATAAGAAAGAAATATGAATTATATGGGATGAATATGTAAAAAAGAAAAAAGAAAGGATTTGTTTTATGAAATAAAAAATAAATTTAAATTAAAAAATATATATAATATAGAAGAGAGTGAAGAATATAAAAGGAATATTCTTTTTTGGTATTAAAAATAGTGTAATGGATTGAAGTTAATTTGAACTATTTTAGTGTAAAAAAATGGTGCAAGGTTAGAGATCCCTAAGAATGCGTTTTTGTAATTTCTTGAGTATTTAAAATGTAATAGGCTCGTACCTTAGGAATGAATAACAAGTGGGATAAGTGAGATTCATTCACCTATCACTATCAGATGCAGTGAAAGCGATTTGTTAAGTACACAGAACCTGCGAGTTGCGGCTCTATACATTTCCCAGGCAGAAAGTTGTTGGAACCACTTGGTCAAAAGCCGACTATGACCAATACTATAGCGATATTCAAATAAAATCGATAAATTACACCAATTCGATAATTCGAGTCAAATCGAGAAAAAAAATTCGACTATGATTTGATTAGATTTGGTTTGATATTAGAAAAAAAAATTCCGACCATATTTGGTTTGGTTTGATTTTAACTAAAAAAAAGTCAAATCGAAATCAAACCAACCCGACATTATATGCATAGAAGTTTTAAATATATCTAATACATAAAAATATTTATTGTAGTGTAGTTTATAAATATTTCTTAATCTTTTTCATACTTTTATCTTTTAACGTATTATTTCAAGTTTGGACTTATAATTTTTGGATGCTCCAATAAGTTTTATAGTCCATAAATGTTAGTAACTCAAATTACTAGACCAAAATCAAATCAATACTAATGCTAATAAAACATTCAATTCAATTGTACTATGAATGAAAATAGTATTTGATATCTATTTT